ACTACCGGGCTCGAACTTTGTATAACAAGTATACTCTATAAAAATCCAGTGATGCTGGCAGAAAGTTATTGATAAATCTTCTAGCTCAATTAAGTGCGTGAAACTGGGAGTAATCCCTTTTTGTATGGATATTATATTATTATATCTCTGAACAGACAATTATCCTTTTTTGGAACACATGGGATGACGAAACGTCAACTCGGAAACATATTTGTTGCAACACACAACAATTTGAAAGATTTCTAAGGAATAACGCAGTTTTTATCTTCCTACTGTATAGCTTTTGTTGAGGAACGAGAATTAATTCAATGAGCTTCGAAAATACTGGAAGCGGTGACCAATTTAAAAATTGAAATATGTTTTAGCAGAAAAGTTAGGGAAGAAAGGTGTTATCTGTTGCTGCAGCCTTCAAACTGTTGTAAATTTTAATGCAAACTCGGGTTTTTGGCACTGAAAAGCAAGAATTTCCGAAAAATGCCTAAGAAAAGATGGTATTTGACCATTTCAAAGAAATCCTTGTTGTGCTGTTAGATTGAACGATTAGATTGGCACGGTGAAGGTGTTCACAGAACGATATAGAAAACCTTGGATGTGCTTCTTATAGGATTTTAGTGGTTAAAATTGGTTAAGAAGATTAGGAGCTGAAAGCGGAAGAAAAGACTTGTTGGTGCTTGCTCATTACCACTGCTCACCTTGATGGTTTCAGTCTGCGTCTCATTCAACCCAGGCAGGGTGTCACCTTGAATGACCGCTGCTATTAGCTCTTGAGGAAGTCTGTCCAATGTTGGAAGGAACTAAAAACGGCCCAAGCGTGATGTAAGCGAAGCAAAGAATGAAGCGTGCAAGGTGTCAGTTATGTTAGCAAAGCAGAAAATGAAAAGGAAGCAGTGCTGCGAATTCTCAAAACCAACTTATGTTATATATCCTTTTCCGTGCTCATTATTTAGGAAGAAAGTGTCTTAACTATTGACTCTATAGGACTTCCAATACTTATCCTGGATAAGTCCTTTTAAGTTTTTCTTTAAATAATTGTAC